TTTTCCAACTAAACTATTTTGAGGATTGGACAACAATGGGCAATTAAAAAACAATTGGGCCACAATTTTTTAAAACTTATTGCCATCACAAAAGCGAATATTTATTGAAAAGAGACTCGTAGTTCTCAAACTAAGAAGCGAGTTTACTACTGATGAAGCTACGAAAAGTTGTGAAGATTCTTAACCTCAATCGTTACTGCAGTTGAAAATTACTGCATTATATTCATTTCAAATAAAGAGATATAAATATCTTTTGATGGGAGCATGGTAGACATACGCGGTGTTCACCGTTGGGGAAGGTAGAGATAACAATGCAATAAGTTCTGTCTTATCAAATTTCTGACACATTTTTTGAATTTTTTCCGATTTAATCAAAATGCATACGTTTTTAGATGGAGCTATAGAGTAAACTTCCATCGCAATAAAGTAAATACCTATGATCCATTATGAACGGGTTCTAATAGTGTTCGACTGGCCCTGATTTACAGATCCTTGATTGATAGTTCTAATGGATATCTCAAAATTGAAAATCCATCGTGATGACTTCATGCTCTAGATGGATTTCTATAACGTTCAAACTAAAACTCTCTGAAAAACATATAAGAAAATCTTCAGGAAACGGTTCGGTGCACTCCCGTTTTTTCGAATGGCGAATTCCTATGTACGAGGGAACTACTCCAACTGATTTCGAGCTTTTGGCTTCGTCTTTTAGCTACAGGTTGGTCTCAATGAGACTGCGAAAATGCTAAAAGCTTTCGTGTCCATAGCTCTTCCTTCCTGAGATATGGTCAAAGCTATGTCATGACAAAAGGGATTTTTTTCATCTAAATAGTTTTAGATTATTTTTTTATACAGCTAGCACTAGTACTAGCTTTTTTTTCTACAATTTACTGTAGAAAACAAGCTATCACTAGAGCTACCTATGTAGAAAATAATCTAAAACTATTTAGACGAAAAAAAAGAAACTTTTCAACAATGAGAAAAGTTCCTTTTGTTATGAAATAGTTTTGACCATATCTCGGGAAGGAAGAGCCATGGGTACGAATGCTTCTAGAATTTTCTTAGTCTCATTGAGGTCTATCTGTAGCCAAAAGATGAAGCCGAAAGCTCAGAATCAGTTGGAGTAGTTCTCTCGTTAGTCTCTTGTGAATTTATTGATAAGCTTCACTTTAGTGAAGTTTTACTCGCATGTTTTGGTTAAAGCAGCTACATCACTAGATAAAACTCTTTCTCTTCTCTTTACTTCTATGCTATCATACGTTGTATCGATTTTATTACCGAGTAGATATGAAACATGAGAGTTTTATTTCAGTATGATTCGTAGACCAGATTGCAATAAACATCTCATGTCATATCTTTACTCGGTAATAAATTTCATGCAAAATATGGCAAAATAGAAAGAAAGAGAGGAAAGACTTTTCTTCGAAAGTATAAATTCTATTGTTCATAAAGACGGCAACAATTTAGGCATAATGAATGATAAATAGCCTTTACAACCATTAATCGATCTAGAAAATAGTTACGAATAATCATTGTTATTTACTTTCTGTTTGATTTGTCAAGCTAGTGAGAAAAACAACTAACCTCAATAACTTTCTAAACTTTACTATAAAACATCGAAATGAGCTAGAAATTTAGATTTGGTGGCTTTAGATGATGTTCATTCGAATGTTCTTGAAAAAAGAATCAAATTTTGACGAACGCCTCTATTTTATCATTAGTGAAGCTTTTTCAAGCTTACAGATGTTTTCTATGCAGCTGTAATTTTCAGTAATCTCTGCATCATCCGAATTAAAGACTGTAATATCATTGCAGTTACTCTTAATCTGTGACTTATATTTTCAGAGCAGTTTCATTTACATATTGAATCGATTCTGCATTTATTAAGTCGCAAAAGTCTTGTCATTACTACTGTTATTAAAGTGTTTAACTAAATTACTGTAGTCAATTTCATTCGATACGATTCTATGCGCTCAGAAAAGTGGATAAATATGCATTTGTCTTTTATTAGGGAACTTTACACGACTTGGCGAGTGTTTTAACAAAAAAAAATACTATATTAAATTGCTATTATCATGCATTATAACCATTGCTTCACCAGAAAAGATCGTCAATTTATCTTTCTCCATCACTTGATTAAATCACTATAGGAGGGGATTTATTAAAATAACGTCAATTAAGTCTTCAAACGTACTATATCAAGATTTTTTAGCATTGGGCAATTGCCAAATGGCCCAAGGCTGGCTACGCCACTGGCTAGTGCAACCAGCAAGTAAAATGATTCGAAGGTTGATTATCATTAAAAATAAAATGAACTTATGTATTTTAATCAATTGATCTTTGCACAAAGTTTTTCCTAATAAACTTTTCTTTGTTTTCACCATTCTTAATATATTCTTGTTTGCTTTAACTTAAAGTCTGATAATTTGTTTGAATCAAATAAATATCCATCAACACATACAACAAACTTCTTAATCCTTTAGCCGTCGACATAAGAGAAGGAAGAAACGAGTTTTTAGAAAATTTACTGGTTTTTCTATGCAACAGTCGTATAGCGTGCCTTAACAAAATGGTAATTTGGAAAGCAAATGATGCCTAACATTTGTTTTTAGACAAGTGCTTCGAAAAATATATATTATGAATGATTACTGAAGTTCACGTAAAGATGAGACTCTCGCCGTTTATAAACGGTGGCGGCGGCCAAAGGGTTAATGGAATTCAATCAGCAAAAATCATTTTTCTATGTCAATTTTAGTCTCGTTATTATAGAGATTTTTAATAGTTGATCTTTAATAAGTGTGACATGTTTATTTTTTCGAAAGAAAAAAGCAACTTTAAGAAAATTATTTCAAAAACAAAAACATGTGAAATTAAGAGACAGCGAACTGAGTAAGATTTTGTTCGATAAATAAATAAACTGAAAAAAATCTTTTTGTAAAAGGAGATTATGTTGCAAAAATCTATCGTTATTGTGTGATGAATTAATATAAAAAAGTTCCTTGAAAAATTGAATAAACTGCTTGAATATTTTCATATATAAAATATTGACTTATCAATTATAAATCTAGTAATATACATTTATTATCATTAGTTTAACTATTCAAGAATAAATACCATCTATTTTCACGATTCAGATTTATTTTCTTTCTATTTTATCTTATTTATTAATATTTTCTCAAATAGACAAGTTATATTTATGTTGGATTTCTCAAAGCAACAATTATCATCGAGAATTATTTTCAATTGAGATATGTATGATTGTAACATGACAAATTATTCTTATTTAAAAAAAAACATAAATTCACTGATAGAAGATTAATTCTAATATGACTTTAGTATTTATTATTATGGAAAATATTTTATCTAATGAGGAAATGTAATCAAATATCAATCGATGATTGAGATAAACTTCCATTGATATCAATAGTTCGATCAAAGAAGAATAACTCCCTAAAAGTGTTCATCTCAATAGAAAATCTTTCCGAACGTTCGAACTATTCTATTTATATTTTTTTTTGTTATATCAGTATAAAGGGTTCTCGTTAGATGAATATACTCTCATTTTTCTTATTTAATTTTCATTCTATAATCTACTAAATCATTTCTTTTTTTCATTAGATTTTTTAATCAATATATGCAACGTAGAATATTTCAACTAGAAAAGAAAGAATAAGAATAAAAATAAATAAATCGATCAACTATTTGAGAAGAATAGTTCTTTCTAAGTGATAAGTGCTTTGGATAATAATATATCTTATCACAATTTAGCGAATAAATTCAATTAAATTAATTTAAGGATTTCTAAGATTTCTCAAAAAAAAACAAATAAAAAATTTTCACTAATATTTTCAAATCGAAGTCGATTCGATATTATTTGGCTAACTTTATTTTCAATATTTCTTATAGTTCACCTTTTATGTTATATTTAATATATAAACTGTTCATTTTTCGTTTAATTTCTTTTTCAATGAACAAACAATAATCTTAACAATAGTATAGATCATTTTATCAAAATCCCAGTTTAACTACACAATTAATCGAGCAAAGCTCGGCTAGAGAAGACATCTCACTCCATCACCCTGAATATGTTAGTGCATCATCACATTTTATACAATTGCCAACGCCAAAATCTATTCTATTTGCATCTCTATTCTTTTTAAAAAATTCATTTTTATTTAAAAAAAAAACCTAATTCGTAACTGAAGAATTAGAATCTACTTGTCTTTGTTGATTTATTAGTGACGATTTTCCAGTTCTCATCGATCCTTATATAAAAATTCTCAATAGGGTATTTTAAGAAGTTCATAGTACAGATACTACCACGCTATTCGATCATGCTTAAATATCTACCTAGCCTTATCATCTGAGACAAATCAATTCCTGGAAGTATACTAGTGAGTGAGAGGAGGGAAGAGCGGGAGACAATGTAAAATAATATTTATTCTTTGCATCTGAGGAAATAATTAAATCCGTCACACACGAGCACTGTCTTTTACAGTTAGATATTATATAAAGACAAAATCAATATGATTAACTAATATTAATGTTATCGGCATTATAATGATAAATTAATCCGTAGACTATGATTTATTGGTTCTATCTCTACTACAGAAATGTTCAAGTTTCAATCTGCATTGACATATGAAACAAGAGTAAGAGAAACCGAGTGGCTATTGCAGACCATCTGACGATGGTAACGAAAAATGAATACACAAATTTAAAATCCATAGAAAAAAAAATGATATGTCAGTTGACTTTTCATTAAAGGAAGTATATCAATGAAAAGAAAAATATTAGTATGAAATAAATCAATGAGAAACTTTCAATATAGTAGATATGTATCGTTGAAAATTTTATTTAAATATAATATTCAATTAAAATTGTTGCTGTTTTGCATATCAAGATGAATTTCTATGTAAATGAGAAAGAAATAAGATAAATGTCCAATGGAATTTTTAAAAATTTTTCTCGATTTTCATCTCTTCGTATTAATAATGAAATTGCAAATAAGATAACACCGCTTAATACTACAAATCTCCCAAACATAAAATATGGCCAAACAAATGGTCGAGTATGTTTTTCAAATACATCACGCATTGTGCCTAGACAATTATCAACAAAAATTTCAAATTTAACTTCTTATCTTAAATATAGTTTCTTACCAGCAGCTGGAGTACCTATAGTAGTAGCAATACCTTGAAATAATAGAATAATACCCATTCCATTTGATAATTTATCTATACCAACAAGATCAACAGTTATTATTGATGTTAATCCAACATAAACACCAGAGAAGAAACCAAAAATTGATCCATAAACAAGATGAGGAAGAATATTAGAACCACTATATGGAGCAAAGATTGTTGATAGACCAGATATAATCAATGTTAAATTGTACAATGTCAGACGATTAATCTAAGAATATTAAAATAAAATATTATCTTACTTTTTATAAAACAAAAAAGAAACTGATTGAATCTTTCTATTGTTCATACCCATTTAAGATCGGCTAAATATCCAATAATAACATGACCAAAACAAGTTGAAAGACCGATTGCCATAATAACAAACTTTCTATCAGTTTCTTCAACATGTGAATCTTTTGCAAGATCATGTTCAAAATTATAGGGAACAAAAAATCCAAGATTTGACAAAAAAATTCGATATTGTAAAAAGAGTAAATGAAGCATTTCTTAGTAGATTTAGATTGATCTGCTCTAAAAGTGAACCAATTATTGATTCGGATATTTGTTCATTTTGATTGGTGATTATATTTGACTGATTATCATTATTTGTTCTGTTCTCTTTGATATAATTATTTGATTATTTCGATTAAAATCATCATTCAATTTATTAGGTAAAGATATACGCCTAAGACTACCACGACACAATGAACTATTTTCGATAGTTACCACTGAATGACGATATGGTGATGATAGATGTGATAGAGATTCGGAGGAATATTTATTTTTATTAATCATCTTACCATTTATACCGATATAATGAATATTTCTAAAGGATAATTGTACTATATCGTCTACCGCTGGGTATATCTTCTTCTTGATTAATAACATTGTTAGGAGATGTTGTTAAGAAAGGTACACTAAATAAATCGGTGAATTCTCGTTTCGTCGAAACGCTAATTGATTTTCTTGTTTCGTCGAAAAATTTGTTAGAGCTTTTTTCATAGTGTTCTCGTTTCGTCGAAAATAA